ATATCCAATTGGAATCAGATTACATTTAGCAAGTGTGAGTGATAAAAAAATCAGTTTCAAGCTACATTCACATGTTTGAAATCCTATTCAAATCACATTTCTCACAAACTTAGAATGTCAACATGTCAGGTGTTGTTGTAGAAAACAAGCCGAAACTCATTGCAGAAACAAGATTGTGATGTTGTGAAGTTCAGGTCAAGCGGAAAATTACAATAAACCGCTAACGGGCCTGGTCTACACACCTCTCTGAATTTTGAGACTGGTGGAGAAGGCAGTATGAAATAAAGCCATGTATGTCTGCCACTGCCAAATAAAGCGGATTAGTTTAGTACCCCGGATGCACGATCTAAATTGTAGCGATACACAGTGTGGACATTCAGTCATTTTGTTTAGATACTTTTTATTGTTTCCAAACATTAAGAAAAGGAATTACATATACTGTAACAGTAACCAAACTCCAACCAAAGAACACCCGCCCTTCCCCCAACATAAGAGCCATAAGAAACATTTACACATACATAAAAAAAATGGGCCATTATTGTAAAATACATTAAGAAAATGACATTTCAGCATATGTAATTACCAATGAAAAACAAAAAATATGTTAAAATGAGTCATAAACACAGTTCACACATTAACACACAGTCAACTGTCTTTAAACACTTGGGGGAAGGAGGAAGGAGATAGGAGATAGATGCATTTTTTTGTTTGATTGAGTAAGTTAGTCTTTCCATTGCTATACAAGACAATTCTTTAATCCAGAGTGACAGTGATGGACCCATTCAGTCATTTTGATCAGATTCTAATTGAATACACAATCGGATTTGGACTGACAGCGTGAACGTAGTTTGTAAGACCTCCTGTTCTTAAGCACTATGGCTGCTAATTACTTCAATAAACCAGCAATGACAATGGCATTTAAGGCAACACGCAAACGTGTTTTTTGGAAGGGCTGCTGTTATATTAATGTTCATTATGCAATTTGTATTGTGGAAGCTGCTTTAAAACGGCATGGGCTTCCCCTAAAAAATCATCAAAATGCAGCAGTGTCATTTATCTAAGAGGGTACTGTAGTTTGTGTCAACATGTTGAGAAATGGTCATACAAGACTTTATTACCATGGTGATCAAGGCAAATTTCAAAGCGGTGCATCTGTTTTGAATAAGTCGATTCAAGAGTTTCTTGTGGTTCAGTATGGAAGAGATTGAGATGGCTTATGGTCTAATTTGACATTGAAAAATAAGGTAATATGAGGCTGTATCAGATATTAGAATGCATACTGATTTGCAGAAGGAACAGTGTTGTGTTATGAAATGCATTTGTTGGCTCACAGCTTTGTAACAGGACTTGATGAAGACTCTTGGTCCACATCCAACAGGGAACTCCGATACTGCCAGCCCTGCTTCCAAATACATTGAGCTTGATTGTGGTTTTGTTATGCTCTGAATTCTTTGCAAACTGCTCGACACTGGTTTTCACCATTTATTGTTAGCATAATCTTAGCATTTCATCTTCAAGTGTTGACAGTTTTATTCATGTTATGATGTTAGACATCCTTGTAGCTCCATTAGTAAAGCGTGGCTCCTAGCAATACTAAAGTAGTGGGCTTGAGCATATGATCTGTTCAAATATTTACTGTGGATGCACTTTAAGGCACTTCAGACAAAGGCATGGACAGTTATGTTACATCATGACAACACTTAGTCACTACAATCATATATTTTGCATTTACATACTGAATGTGTAAGAGAATTTGTGCATGTGTCAACATGCGTATGTGTTGGAAGTAGTTATTCTCTTGAGAAGCAATGTTAGGTCAGTGCATCCTCCCAGGCCGGGCCTTGTTTGAGGAGAGTAGGCAGGGAGTCATAAACACATCTCACTCTGTTTAAACACAGATGACTTAGAGTCTCCTATGTTACAGAACAAAGAATGATTCATGAATAAAGTGAGTGCAGCTTTGAAACTATAATTTGGAAAAATGTATGCAGAATATAATTGATAACAATGTACATCACAGTCTGGGGTGTGTTTGAGTTACTGTATCTTTGTCTTGCAGGAAATGTACCCTGTAAACGAGCATTAGTTCCTCTGATGTTCTGTAGTGGATCACTTGGTGACATCTTAATACATCCTCTTTTATGAGGGTCTGCATGTGTTATTGAGGGAACAACAGGGTCCTGGACTGAATTGACACTTATTTATATAGCTGGGTGGTCTCCCCTTCCAGAAGAAGATTGTTAAAATAGTGGTTTATCGCGCCTTGATGTATTTGTAATGAGCACACTGTAGTTCTTGTGTTTTTCTTCTCTTGTTCACAAGTAGTGGGTGCCACTTGCAAACGTCATTCTCTAATGGAGGCTTTGTTTATTTCTCTGATTCTGTTTATTGGGAGGATTTTAGAATGATTTCCAATTTCCAGATGCTTACACTACTGTACAAAATTTAATTGTTTTTGAAAGAAGTCTCTTATGCTGACCAACACTGCATTTATTTGATCAAAATAAAAACGGTAATATTGTGAAATGTTATTACAATTTAAAATAGCTGTTATCTATTTCAGTACATTTTAAAATATAATTCATTCCTGTGATGGAGGCTGAATTAACAGCAGCCATTGCTAATTTGCTGTTTTGGTGCTCAATATACATTTCTTATTATTATAAGTGTTGAAAATGGTTGCTGCTTAATATTTTTGTAGAAAGTGTGATACTTTTTTTCTGAATTCTTTGATGAATATAATGTATAAAATAACAGTTTTATTTGAAATAGAAATATTTTGTAACAATAAATGTCTTTACTCACTGACCCCAGTCTTTTGAATGGTAGTGTATATGTGTCAGGATTATGGACTGGTTTCTGTTGTGTTATCCCTCCCCATGTGTTCCGTGTCCCAGTTAATTGACTGATTCCATGCACCCGTGTTCCCCTTATTGCCCTGTGTTTAAAAGTCCCAGTTTGTTCAGTTTGTATTTGTCGGGTCTACTTGTTGTGAACGTCATCCTTGTGTTCTGTGTCTCCATGTTGGATTATTAAAGACTCTCGTTTTGTGAAATCTCCACGTCTCTTCGTTTCCTCGTTCCCGTGACCCAGCGGATTGTGACAGAAGACCCGACCAAGGATACAGTTACCTCCGTGTGTTCCCTCCGTTTTTCCTCAGTGTTTTTTGTTTCCGTTGTTTCTATGGATCCCCTCTCCCGTCCGGAATACCTCCTCCTCCTGCTGGAGCAGGGGGAGAGATCGCTCGAGGGCCATACCAGACTGTTCCTGGTCATTGCTGCTCTAACCAGCTACCCGGACGACACGCTTTGTGCGTTCTACGACGCCAGTTTGAACATCTCGTGCAGAGCGCTGTCGTCCGAAGATGGTCCTCGAGCGAATTTCTCCACCTTTGCCACTCTCCACCATGGCCCGTCATCCCACCAGCTCCACCGGGCTCCCTTGTCCCTCCGGCTCCTCCTTGGTCTGGCGTCGACCATCCTGCACCTTGGAACTCCACTCCTCTGGCTTCGCCTCGTCCCTTTGTCCCTCCGACTCCGTCAGGCTCCTTCATCCCCTCGGCTCCTCCTCAGTCCTCTATCTCTCCGGCTCCACCGTGGCTTCCCGGATCCACGCCTTCGCGTCGGTCGCTGGCCCAATCTACTCCGCCTAGGACCTCCGGATCCTCCCCGTCGCCCTGGCTCATCGACTCTCCGCATCACAAGGTGTGTGAGCCGGCAACAACGCCCGCCACGAGAGAGAAAGCCACGGACGGTGTGAGAGCGGAGATGAGCTCCGCCCCCTGCACCGCGGCTGAGGGTGAGCTGTGTATGGTGCAGCGACTGTGCCACACCGAAGAGGAGCGGGCTCCCGTTCCTAAGTTCTGGCCTGAAAGCCCAGAGGCTCACAAATGCCTGCCCTCCCACATGCTCCTGCCTTCTCCTCCACTGTCATCTTGCAGCCCCTCTGCTCGCCCCCAGCCCACCATCTATGCGGTGCGAGCTCCGTGGGACTGCCATCCTCCAGCATCGCCATGGCTGAAGTTTCCCTTGACTCCGCCTCCAGCCTCTAAGCCCCGAACTCCACCTCGGCCCATGGACCCCATCGGCTCCACCATGGCTCCTAGCTCCCTCCTCTCCGCCGTGGCCCGGCAGTCCACTAGCTCCCCCGGGCTCC